GACCCACAACAGGTCAAGCCTTGAAGCAGACGGACAAGTTGTGGGTCTTCAGAACCACAACAGGTCCAGCCTTGAAGCAGACGGACTCCAGCAGCAGAAGACCACATCAGCTGTTACTGCTGTCAGCTGAGAACAGGAAACTGAAGCTACAGTTCATACAGACTCACCAACTCTGACAAAGAGACTGAAAAACCTGTTCTGCTCTGATGAGTGTTTGTGGAACTGATGGTTGATCATGAAACTACCTGTAGACCAGCAGGTTCTGAACAATGAGTGGATATTAATCTAATCATATATCTTCTGCTTTATTGTACATACTAATCAAAGGTATGTTTAAAACCCATAACTCCACAGCCGGGTGATCAGCCCCTGGTCTCAGCAACATGTGGACTCTGAAACTGGGACCAGCTCTGCATTATACTGGATCAGGTGTGCCACAAAGCCTGGTTGTATTTCCTGTTTGTTTTTTTTACTGGAATGTTCTTGTAGTTAATGGATGAATACATGAATTAAAGTATATCTTGCTTTATTCCTCACTTTGCTTGGCAGCACAGAAGTGAAAGCGAGGACTCTGAAAGGTGTTGCTCACACTGTGAATGAAATGGATCCATTGTTGGAAAGTTAATAAAAGCCCACTGAGTGGGTAGGCTGAATGATTCAAGTGTTTTCTGTGTCAAATCTATTTATTAGTATTACTTTGATGGATTGCTTTTTTGTAGAATCTGCTTTAACACACTGTGACGTGAACCTAAGAAAGTTTTCAGCTCGGCCCACACCTCTGTTGAACAACACAAATTAAAAAACAGTAGACAACAGTAGAATCTATACAGCTCATAAACACGAACACGTTGGCTGTCTCAATTCATGGGCTGCAGTCGATGTAGACCATGCTCGATGTTGTCCACAGTCTACGTGGGCCGTTGGCTGCTCATGTCGGCTGCATAGACAGTTGTGAAATGAGAAGATCTGGTTTACAGAAGATGTACAGTATGTTTGTGTGACCACATTCTGCCTTGTCGCAATGGTGACACGTTTTAAATCACATCACTTCAGTTGTTCTTTTTTCAAAGTATAACCATAAAATTCAGATTTATTAGAAAAACATTACAAGTAAATAAATTAAAGGCATTCATAATTTGGGTCTCATCAGCACCAGTAACCATTTTATTTAACATCTTATTGCAGCAAAGCTTTCTTCAGGTGGCTGCGTAGGTTATGGTTAGTGGGGATGGATAAAGAATCCATARGAGCGGTAGCCTCCTAAGTGGGTCCATTGCTTACCCCAAAAAAGACACTGGTCTTTATCCGAACCTTCTCGGATGAAGGACACAAGTTTAGCAACACTCAGTGTTCTGAGCTTCTCAGGATCCATAAAGGGGTCTCCAAGAATTCTTTTCCTTTGACCACTCAGAGCCAGGCAGTGGCCTAAGTAGTGCAAAGAGGTCTGTAGTTCAATGCCACGGGCATCACACAGACCATTGTCATGGAGTCCCATCACCATTGTGTGGCTGTTGAGTAGGTTGTGCCCAGTTAGGACTCCAACCAGTCTACTTAGAGTTCTGTCAGGGCAATGAGAGCTTTCCGTAGTTACTCAGATGCAGGTGACYTTTTCGGGGTTTTGTTGGCTGCATTTGTTGGCGCCTCCGAATCGGGACAGCCTATGGCACGGGGCAGCGACATAAGCGGCTAACAAATGCGGCTGCAACCCATGAAATGAGACAKAGCCTTTGTCTTTGTTGTTTATCAGAAGGACATGAAACTTTTTTTAGTAAACAGATCCTGAGGAGAAAGGGTGTGCCACAACAAAAAGGGTTGTCGACCTGCAGGCCGACAGCAGAATGGTTTGTGATAAACAAAGCTTTCCTGTTGTCCACCGAGGTGCCAACGGATGCTTTTATTGGAGCCAAGTTTACATTGTACACCAGGAGGAAGCTGCGGAGCTGTTTCATGTCAGCGCTGCTCGTGGGCTGCTCAAAACAAAGCTGACCTCCCTTCACATGGCTCCCTCTGCACCCTGACCTGCTGAAGCCACAGGTCTGTGTGTGAGGAGGAACCGCAGGCAGGCGCATGCTGGCAGGTCACAGGTACAGCACTTCAGCTCAGGAACATTTCCTTGTTTTAAGTCCACTGATTGGGTGAAATCAGTATGAACTACATTTGTTGACATTCCTGAACGATAAAATCCTTTCATGGGATTTTTTTTCCTGACTTGTGTCACTGTTTCAGCAGCATGTTGTAACTATCAGTGTTTGGTTAAAACAACCTAAAAGCCCTGTCACACTGTGACATTTTAGACTTATAAAATGTTTGGAGACATCTACGTTAAAGATGGAATTAAGCTGGAAGCCTCTTTTAGGTGTGTACATACTGTAACGCTAATAAATGAATCAAATATTTAACCTTTATTAGTAATTTAGTGTTTTCTTCGTAAGCTGTCTAAAACGTAGTGTGACAGAGCCTTTAAGAAGTTGTTTTGTGTTTTTTGCTTTTGTACTGATCAACATGTGTGTGATCTCTCTGACCTTTGACTGCTCAGTGCACTTGATTTTATTTTTATGTGTTCCAAGAATTTGCGGGACAAAGAGGAAGTACAATAAGTAAAGTTGGCATAAGTTGAATGTTAAGTTTGGCAGCGTGACCTGTGAGTCATGAGTCTATCTGCGAACATTATCAGACATCCTCTCTAATAGCAGGCTTCTGGCGGATGCTGGAGAGCAATTTTCCAAGCATCCCAAGCGGGGATTAACCATTCCTGACTGAGGTGGACAAATTGGCCAAACTCTTGGAGGTTTCCCTCAGTCAAGCTGCTAAAGGTAAAACAGAGCACAGGATCACAATGCACTCCCTGGGAAGCACTCCCCTGCTTCCTCTCATTAACACGGCGCTGCAATGGAAAATCCATCAGGCTGGATTCACTGTTTGTTTTCGGAAGCAAGCCGTGCCCTGCTTTGTTCACACTGTCATGCACTTTTCATGCCTCCACTCTTCTTGTTTGTTTTTCATACAGTGTTCAGTATATTATTAAGTACTTAAAAGGTTGTGTTGTGGCTAAAAGGGCCACTTATCTCGAACCTGACCACAGTTTAATAGCTTGTTTAGTCTACAGCTCWGATTTCCAGCATGATGGACGTTTATGCCTTATATAAATCACTTTTTTCTGCAGTTTGCATAAAAAAGTCATTCTAGATACAAAACTAAYTTAAACTTAACAACTGAAACAAAAGTCTTCCACTTTAATAAAAAAAAGAAAAGAAAACTGGGTTGAAATGAATGGATTTGTCTGTCTCATCAACACATTGATGTGATGCTACGWTCACACCAAACGCGCTTTGAGCATCTAAAATGTGCCCGACGCCTCAAGTTGGACACCTTACATTCAGACCGGGACAGAGAGTAGAGGCGCATCTGAAGCCAGGGCCGGACTGGGGCAAAAAAMTGGCCCAGGAATTTWGTASCTGACTGGRCCATTCAAGGTKCGYGCTGGCAGATGATGTCTGCAAATGATGGAGGCAGATGATGGAGGCGGAAACAACAAACGTCATCTCAGTGTACRGTACAGGATCTAAGGATGTAATGTTGAGGAATTAGTAAAGTTATTAAGATAGCAGAGCAGCAGTTAGCTCYCAGGCATTGACCCTCAGAGTTCCATATGGTCATTTTGAACTCATTTTGATTTTACCCCCCAAAAATAACATTATTATAATCTAATGTGGTATCATTT